CTGAAGATGGCCAAGGACCGAAACTAGTTAGACTTAAATTCTATATAAAATAAAAGACATAAACTTTTAATTTTATACTAACATCTAGAAAACGACACTGGCCCGAAATTGTAGGTTCATCTACTTTTTTTTATTGTGAATTTCTTGGTGTATCTAAGTGTCGTATCTAATTGTAAGTATGATGCAAATCAGACTTGAATTTTTTCTGATTTTTTCTGATTTTTTCTGAGATAAGTTACACTTTTATCTACTATACTCTGTTTTTAAACCAGGAGGAGTAAACGCGAAAGTCAGATTTACACTAGGAAAAATCACCAGAAAATATCACTAGATATTTTGGCGGTAAATTTAAATTAATAATTATTATTATTTATTTATTTACTTATTATTGTATTTATTTTCGTTTGTTATCGTCAACACTAAACATATAAATTAACATTGAAGTTACGAGTGTATTTATTTCAAAATATAATAAAGAAGGGTTTAAGAACACAAAATTTACAATAATGACACGAAACTGTCGAATTGCCAATAACCTAACCTTCAAATTCAAAATCAAAATTCAAAATTGCCTGTGTGTGAACCTTCCTCGCATTCAACCAATCACGTGCAAGGTCAATCTGAAATTCAAAATCAAAATTCAAAATTGCCTGTGTGTGAACCTTCCTCGCATTCAACCAATCACGTGCAAGGTCAATCTGGTGACAAATTTAAAATACTCCTCCTGGTTTAAAAACAGAGTATAGACAGCATGAAAATCTCTAAAAACGATAAAATGTCGCTTAGTCAAGTGTGATGTATAACGCGGTCCAATTAACGGACATTCCGGATTATATTTTATTCGAAATTTACAGCATAATTAGTATTGGTGATGTGGACCTCGACCACCCGAGGGAGAAGAGTTTGTTTTACTTCATCTTTGGAAATTTTATTTAACCTAAAAGAAGCTTGGGCGTGAAAGGCTTTTTAATAAAGGAAAAAAAATCTCTTTATTTTCACCGCTTTCAAATTCAGGCGACGTCTCTGGATCCGAACGGAACTGGAGCCTGGGGCCGGTTTCTATTTTCGAAATTATTACCTTGGAATCGTATTGGTCACCATCCAACCTGTCGGATAATCCGTAACCTAAAAAATAGGGACAAAACATCATAAGATCACAAAATTTTCGTTAAATTTTATTGTTTTGCTTGATCAAGTTTATTCATTATTTTGGACAATTCGTTTATTTTGTAAATTAAGGTTTTGATTACACCAAACGTACTTACTTTTATCTTAGTGAATTTTGGGTGATTCACGCCACACTTTCTTAATTTTTTTTTGGTATCACTCACGACACGAAAGTGAATTTAATAATTTTAATTTTTTTGTAAGGGTAAATCTTGGGTATTCTTTTTTATTTTTTTCTCATATAGTTCATATCTTTGAAACAACTTTACGTACAAGCTTGATGTGTAACGCGGATTCATAATGCATTTAGTTATTTTTTTTATTACCGTCATTACTTTTCATTTTTATTTGCGATTATTTTTATTTTGAAAATTTAATTTCGAATTTTATTTCTTTAATATTTCATTACAACTTCATTTGAGAGGTCTTTGAAATATTTTGATCAAGTTCTCTTTTTAAATTTCATCCCGAATTCTGTTAACCCGTGGAAAGTGTTGCGAAAACACAATTTATTACAATGTAAGGTTTATTCTCTTCCACAACACTTAATTAATAATAACAATTACATAATATACAATCAAATGCTGTGGGTGCGGATGTTATTGCTATTAAATTTATACAATTGGCTTGTCCTGTAAGCTTACCTCATATAACAAATATTATTAATACTTGTCTATCAGAAGATATTTTCCCTTCAATATGGAAAAGGTCCATCGTGATACCGGTACCGAAAGTACCAAGTCCAAACGAATACTCATGTCTAAGATCCATAAGCATTTCGTGGTCCTTATCAAAAGTATTGGAAAAAATAGTTAACAGACAACTGACGGAGTTTCTCAAGGCTGAGAGCATTGTTTCAGTGAATCAGTCTGGTTTCAGGGAAGGACATAGCTGTGAAACTGCTCAGAACAATATAAGGGACGATATTTTTACTGCAACTAACTCTAATAATACTAATACTCTTCTGAGGATGTTGGATTTCTCCAGAGCATTCGATACTCTAAACCAAGACTTGTTGACCTGTCTCACTAGCTTTTTTCAAAAATTACCTTAAAGGCAGCATTCAATCAGTCAGTATTGATCAAGTGAACTCGAGTGCTTTGGAGATAAGGTCTGGGTCCTGCAGGGATTGATTCTAGGCCATACACTATTTAAAATTTACACGATAAATTTCGATAATTTCGTTAATTTCTGTAGCGTCCACTATTATGTTGATGATACTCAGATTTATCTGTCCTTTTCTGAAGGCCACTTTGATGAAAGCTTCAATAAGTTTAAACATGACTTGCATGGCATTATCGAAGGGGCTCGGGAATATTGCTCAAAGAAAAATGCTAATAAGACCCAAATCATTCTGTTTGGGCCCCGAAGTTAACAGAGAAATTTATTGATGGGTTTTATCAGCTGTCGATAGGAAATACTCTTAGTAAGCCTGTCAAAAACCTGAGCTTTAGGGAACACACTAATCAGTTGATTGGTCGAGCTTATGGCTCGTTAAAATTGATTTACTCTAATCGTTATAGTCTTGATTGGCACATAAAAAAACTTTTATGCGACTCTCCGGTATTGTCACACTTTAATTACTGTGACAACATATATGCCTCGTATATTTTGGATTCCAGGCATCAGGGAAAAATTCAAAAGCTTCAAAACTCGTGCATCCGTTTAATTTTCGCCTGAGGAAATATGATCATGTGTCTTTTGGTTTTGAACATGAAAACTAGCAGATACATCCACAAGGCCTGCTTGTATTATAGAATCATCTCTGAAGGACCCCTCCATTCCTGCGCGATAGGATTAAATTCAGAACGGACGTGCAAAAACGTTAATGTTTGCTTCAGGGGTAGACTAACACCTCCTTCCCACCGGACAGATTTTTTTAAACGGTGTTGTACATAAGCTTGTAATTATAAAATTGCCCGAATAAAGTGATTATTATTATTATTTCGTAATTAGTATATCTTGCGGACGAAAATTACTTGTCGCCCTAAAAAAATAAACCAACCTCGCTCTTCTCCACTGAGCAAACCGAGGATATCCGGCAATATCCGCAGCAATATCGGGTTGAGTTGAGAATTGCTCATTTAGTGTAAATTTTGGTTTTTTTTATTGTTATTAATTTTTCTTTTACGTTTAATTTTTTATAAGTACTGTCACGGTTTTTGCAGAAGATATTAGTGTAACATGTTTCTCCAAATGTTTGTATTTTTTTAACTCTATCATTCCATTTCTTCTTTTTTCGTTTCTTATTTTTCCTAGTTCGTATTACCGCAATATTCTAATATCGGATTTAATGTGCTAAATTTCTTGCTACATTATCTTAACACTTTGCTTTATAGACAATTTTGAGTTGTCCTTTTCTGCACATTGAAACAACTACAAACTAGCTCCTATTCAGAGTGCGGAAAGTTAGCCACCCATTTTTTGATTTTTACATTTTTCATTGTTGTTCTAGAGTTGTTCTACATTGTTCCAAAGCGTCAAACAGAAAAAATAAAATCTCGGCGAGAAAAATCGAAAAGACGGGTTTTTTGACTGGCCCCCTATTTTTGGAAAAATCAGATTTTCTTTGTTGTTCTGGGTTGTTCTAGTTATTGTTCTAGAAAACCAAAATTATGGGATACAGCATTACGAAGTTATAACTAAAAATAGGTTTGACTGCCAAAATGTCTAGTTGATTGCTCTGACCATAGTTTTTCTATTTTCAATTCCATATTACAAATATATACATATTATACCTAAAGCAACCTGGGATAGCTATTATTTTCAGTAGAACAATTCTATAAAGTAATAATTGTTTTTGGTTTTTCTTAACATTGTGTTGGTTTAGATGGAAAATTCTTTTCTATACTTTTCAATGTTATATTTATTTAAATTCTACATGTTTCGAGGATCCAGTCCTCATCCTCAGGAAAACTCCTGTACATGAATACAAGATAACAAATTAAAATTAAAATTAAGTTTGAAATTTAAAACAATGTGTAAAAGTAAATTATAGGTTATGTCAATCTTAAAGAAAATTATTGAGTTTTTACTTACGTCGATCTTTGAATAAAAGATAATCATATCCCTCAGATTACAAATCTTATGATTAAACAATTAAAACAGAAACAAACTTTTAAACTTCTAAAATTGAAATGGAGATTTTGCAATTCATCGGCATGTATTACGGAACCAGTTTTTTGGATGACGTATATCGTTATGCTATATATAATAAAGTCAAACCCATATTAAAATTAAAATCAAAAGCAATTGGCAACAGTGAATTTAGATATTTAAATGATTTAAATTCAAAAAATTTTTTAAAAGGAATTTTTAGTGTTCTTTTAAAAACTTTCTATGGATTGGGGTTGGGTTTGTGATGGGAAGTTTGGGATTTTTTGGATAGGATGGGAATAGTAGCCAAGGAACCAAAATATTGCAGAATCAAGTCGCTACTTTATCTCGATGCTCTCGTTTATTTTGGTGTTTAGTAGGTGTGAATGGTTGCTTTAGGAATGAATAAATTGGTCTATGGAAAGTTTGTACCTGTTCATTAAGGCATAGGGTATTGGGATTGTTAGCTATAAATTTTTTAATTTCGTATCCCTCCAGTAATTCCATTAAATGTCCTTTATTAATATTGTGGAGTATGTGTGCATCTTTGTTTTCATTGAATTCGTGGTCATGATTAAATATTAGGTGTTTACCAAAGTTAGAATTGTCTCTAGTTTTATGTTCTTTTATCCGTGTTTTTAGTGCTCTACCTGTTTCACCTATGTATGTTGCGTTGCAAGTTGTGCATTTCAATTTATATACTCCATTTTTGTCGAGTGTATTGAACGATNATGATCTCAATATAACTTTCAAAACGAACAACACTTTAACTAATTCCTTGATAAATAATAAACAATCGTTCAATACACTCGACAAAAATGGAGTATATAAATTGAAATGCACAACTTGCAACGCAACATACATAGGTGAAACAGGTAGAGCACTAAAAACACGGATAAAAGAACATAAAACTAGAGACAATTCTAACTTTGGTAAACACCTAATATTTAATCATGACCACGAATTCAATGAAAACAAAGATGCACACATACTCCACAATATTAATAAAGGACATTTAATGGAATTACTGGAGGGATACGAAATTAAAAAATTTATAGCTAACAATCCCAATACCCTATGCCTTAATGAACAGGTACAAACTTTCCATAGACCAATTTATTCATTCCTAAAGCAACCATTCACACCTACTAAACACCAAAATAAACGAGAGCATCGAGATAAAGTAGCGACTTGATTCTGCAATATTTTGGTTCCTTGGCTACTATTCCCATCCTATCCAAAAAATCCCAAACTTCCCATCACAAACCCAACCCCAATCCATAGAAAGTTTTTTTAAAAGAACACTAAAAATTCCTTTTAAAAAATTTTTTGAATTTAAATCATTTAAATATCTAAATTCACTGTTGCCAATTGCTTTTGATTTTAATTTTAATATGGGTTTGACTTTATTATATATAGCATAACGATATACGTCATCCAAAAAACTGGTTCCGTAATACATGCCGATGAATTGCAAAATCTCCATTTCAATTTTAGAAGTTTAAAAGTTTGTTTCTGTTTTAATTGTTTAATCATAAGATTTGTAATCTGAGGGATATGATTATCTTTTATTCAAAGATCGACGTAAGTAAAAACTCAATAATTTTCTTTAAGATTGACATAACCTATAATTTACTTTTACACATTGTTTTAAATTTCAAACTTAATTTTAATTTTAATTTGTTATCTTGTATTCATGTACAGGAGTTTTCCTGAGGATGAGGACTGGATCCTCGAAACATGTAGAATTTAAATAAATATAACATTGAAAAGTATAGAAAAGAATTTTCCATCTAAATTCTATAAAGAACACTTTACTCTTTGAAAATTAAAGTTTTTGGTTGTTTCAGTCAGTAATTCTTGCGTCAGCGGTTTTAAATTACAAAAACATATAACGATCTAAAATAACTCAAACTTTGCTGATTCAAATTGTTCTAGGTGTGTTTTACGTTTAAACTAGGGAAAAAAAGGTGTTTTGGTTACACGGACATTAATTCTCCAAAATCATATCTTCCAAAAAATACAGCAAAATGCAGAACTAAAAAGTAAAATAAAAATAAATCAACAAATGAATATTGTTTATGTTGTATTATACATTATGTAATAAAAACTAAATATCTCTGTGTTCCACCCACACAGAGATATATTTATATATACTATATATTTATATACATACATTTGTTCCCATATATTAATAAAGTAAAATATTAAAATTCGGATGTAGAATTATACAGTTTCCCAAAAGTAACGGATAAATTCGTTAAAACAACTAATGACAGTTTATGGAAAAATCGCTGAGACGGGTATAAGGATTTACATTTTTTGCAATTTTTTGGTATAGATTTCAAAATTTTTCCGCCGTTTTTAAACAAGTTATGACGTCATCGCTGTTTTTTTCAAATAGCAATCCCCCATTTTTAGTATGGAATATGAAAGAGGATTTTTTTCTGAATTTGGTACCGCCAAAATTAATATTAGCTACATAAGAAAGGTTTCGAGGAATATTGCCTTGAAGTTTCATGATCATTTGAAATGGGAATCATTTGAGGTAGAAAAATAGCAGTAGCCATACGTAACCATGGCAACCAGTTGTTTCAAATACTTTATTAAGGGCCGGTTTTACAATGTACGGTTGACAGTAGGTTCACTGTCAACCTCCGGTTAACCGTTAGTTTGTGTAGTACGACCTACGGTTGAGTAATAAAGTTCCGGTTAAAGGGAAGTTATCCCAACCGCAGGTAAAAGTCGAGTTTGGCCGGAGGGTTGATATACGCACATGCGCAGAACTTCATAAAGTTGTCATGATCTGTCATGAAAGTTGTCATCAACCGGGCGTTTAAGAATAGAATTGTTAAAAAAAGAACATAATAAAAAATAAAATTTTTACAAAATCCAATTTGTTTTTAATTATATAAAGAGAATTATTTTATATAAAACATCGCAAAAAAAAAAATTAATAAAATAAAATAATAAAATAAAAAAAATAATAAAATAATCGCTCGCAAAATGATCTACGTCGAAAGTCAGGTTAGGTTAACGTAAACACGTGTGTCTTTACGTTTTCGAATGCACGCATTTCATTGGTTGAGAGTTGGCGCGCAGTGCAGCCAACATTGACCGCGGCCGGTTGACGGCAAGCTAATAAACCGGAGGTTAAAATCCTGTCATAAAACGTATCGATGTTCAACCTTCGGTTAACTGCTCAACCGGAGGTTTGATAACCGGCGGTCAACGTCTACTTTTATAAAACCGGCCCTAATCTGTAACTGTTAGTTGCCATGGTTAGCTACTGCTATTTTGCTATCTCAATTGAATAGGACGTGTTCAATAGGTGTTCAATATATTAATTCCACGTTCTTGCAAAACGTTTCTGGTGATGCCGGCGGTATGTGGCTTTGCATTGTTCCGCATTAGGATGAAATTTTGACCGACACCATATGAAGCAGGCACCACATGGTTCTCCAAGATGTTTCCGATGTAATTCATGGCATTTAGTCTACCAGGAACAACAACAAGATCATTTCTGTTGTGTATACTGATTCCAGCCCAAACCATAACAGATCCCCGACCAAATCTATCCACTACCTGTATAGTAGCGGCTGCGTAGGGTTCACCAGGACGTCTATATACACGTACTCGACCGTCGCAACGAGTTAAACGAAATCTGGACTCGTCTGTAAACAGTACAGGCGTCCAGTGACGAAGTTGCCAATCTCTGTGATCCAGAGCTCTGTGGTTCGCGAACAGGTCCTCTAGGTTTCAAATTCGCTTTTTTAATCTGTTTCTAACAGTTTGATCAGAAATTTCTATTCCATGTGCTCGTCTTATTTTTTGAGCAGAGTATATAAATATATAATAAATATATGTATAGTATATATAATCTATCTCTGTGAGGGTGGGACACAGAGATATTTAGTTTTTTAATACATAATGTATAATACAAATAGTGTATTTTTGTTGAACTATTCTATTTTTGTGAATAGTTGGATTATTTATTTGTTGATTTATTATTTTTCTTGTAAGGTCTACATTTTGTTGTATTTGTAAGAAGATATGATTTTGCAAAATTAGTGTCGGTGTAACCAGAAAACCTTTTTTTTTCCTAGTTTAAACGTAAAACACATCTAGAACAATTTGAATCAGCAAAGTTTGAGTTATTTTAGATTGTTCTATGTGTTTTAATTATGATTGTGTAATTTAAAACCACTGACGCAAGAATTACTGACTGAAACTTAAAAAACTTTAATTTTCAAAGAGTAAAGTGTCCTTTATAGAGTTGTTCTAGTGAAAATAGTAGCTGTTCCAGATTGATTTAGGTATAATAAGTATATATTTGTAATATGGAATTGAAAATAGAAAAACTATGGTCACAGCAATCAACATTTGACATTTTGGCAGCCAAACATATTTTTAGTTATAACTTCGTAATGATGTATCCCATACTTTTGATTTTCTAGAACAATAACTAGAAGAATTAGAACAACCCAGAACAACAAAGAAAATTTAATTTTCCCAAAAATGGGGGACTAGTCAAAAAACCCGTCTGTTCAGTTTATCTCACAGAGTTTTTATTTTTTCTATTTGCCGCTTTGTAACAATGTAGAACAACTCTAGAACAACAATGAAAAATTTAAAAATTAAAAAATGGGGGGCTTACTTCCCGCACTCTCCTATTCAAGTTCAGAGTGCGATATTAAACTCTATCAAATTCAACTTATTCATTTCTGCATCCCGCTCGTCGCGCTTCAGCTTGTCTAGGAAATCCCTCTTTGATGATATTTGGATCACACAATTCAACATCGTAGATACATTGAAGATTACTTACAATATCGCTGTCTATGAAAATAGATTCTTTATCAAGTTCCGCTATCGCTGTAGTAAGTACCTAGCCCAAATTTAGTTCTTCTTGTAAAAGAATGAGATTGTGGGATCTCATACGCACTACATTTTCGTCTATTGTCTGATTCGGTTTCTGTCCCTTCGTTTATATATTTCTTTCCGGCTTCTCCCTAGCTATTGTATCGTTGGGTATTATTGCATTTAAATGCTTACTCTATTTTTCTCTACTTAAATACAAAACAATTTTATGGCTATTATTTACCATTTTCATGTTTGCACTCTTTAGAAAAACGACATTTTGCTGGTAAACAAACATTTATTACATTATGTTTAAGTATTCATATGATATCTGGTTGTTCATAAATAACATTTTTAATTACTTTGCGAATAATTCAGTTTATTTTTTATGACAATACAAATCGCCTTTGCACGTAATATTTGTGGTAAAATAAATTTAACGTAAAAATGCGCAACGGGCGGTGTTCCCACTAATACAAATAATTTAATGCTTTGTGAAACGTGGACGTTCAAAACAGCCAAGTACATAAATATTATCCAGTACACATCGACAATCGATGCACATTTTCGTCGATTTATTGTTCCGTCAGTAAGGACGTATTATAAATACGTCAACGGGGTGACAATTCAGTAGCATCGATCCGATCGGTATTTTTTTGTATGGTGATAAACGACCCCTTTACCTTATATTTGCTATTAGATTATTTCAACAGGGTTACCTGACAATCAATCATTATACTTCCCCGCTTCCTCTGCTGGTGGGAAATTTTCTGGTGCCGCCGGAGGGATATCACCCCATTACTGGTACGGTCACACCGGCTGCAAGCTCAATCAATCATCTATGCTAACGTTACCGACAACTACGAACTCTCGTTTTCACTGTTGGGATGTACGACGAGATAATTACGCCGCTCGCTGTAATTAAGCACTCGCGAATAATTAACCGACACGTCATCGATATATCAACCACTTAGCCCTTCTCCCCAGAACCCAATTCTTGTACTACAATTTGAATCCCTCTACCATCCCCAAGGACTTCGGAGTTCTAAATGTGGACGTCTTACGATTTTCGTAATCGCCTTTGTAATCATCTTAGGCACCAATAAAAGCCTATTACATAAATGGGTCAATAAATTTCGAGTTTAATGTTACTATATACCAAATACAAATAATTTCAAGTAATAAGGATTGATTTTTGCATTATGTCCATATTATGCGGCTTATCCGCGTCAATATCGGTCGCGTATTGTATCTTTTTCTTTCTGGCGCTGAGTTTCGTTGGTGAAACCATGGAATTGAGATAACGGTTGGCGCATGCATCAGGCCGATAAGATTGATGGAGCAATTTGCGTAAAACATCGGAGTTTTCAGCATAACGAGGGCGGCCGGGTAACGTGACAAGACAAGTGGTAAAGATGTTGGGAAATCGGCGCTCCTCGGTATGGAGGCGTTGATAGATCGACGCCGCCACAACTCGTCGAACATCGACCCGAACGTGTATGGACACGCCAGGGATTAGGACACCGGCGGGATCAGGTTGCTGCAGCTTCATTACATGAAGGCCGAGATTAACTTCCCCCACTTCACGCGACACAATATAATTGCATTGTTGCTTTATCGTCGCTGCTATGTACACGTTTCACCCCGGGTATCGAATTATCCAATTGGAATGGACGGTTTCTCATATAAAACTGAATGATTATGAAATCCATTCCAATTTGAATTTGAATGGATAAAAGCAAAAATTTAGTATTGATTCATCCAACCCTATAAATTACCAGATACCATGGCATTTATTTATTGCGAATCTTAAACAAAACGGTGTTTGTCGTCGACACAACCCCTGCTAATTCCATACCGTTAGGGTGGCTCGGTCTCGCCGATCTATTTGTCCACCTCATAATCGGACAAATTACACTC